TTTGGAATGGGAGAACCTTTTTTTTTTTTTTTTTTTTTTTTTTTTTTTTATTAACCCATTTCTTTGCGATCACCGATCCTCTTACTTTGTGCTGCTAGCCAGAAGTCAAGACCCCTGCAGTTAATGACCCAGTTATCTGTGTAGGCAGACTTGCCTGGCCTTGTTGATGCAGTTCTATCTCTGCAAGAGCTGCTAAATTGCTTTTAGTTTGCTGGCACTCCCAATTACTAGTGAGCATATGCAAGATGCAGCATGGCTAGGCATGTAGTTGGTGAAGTTTATCTATGAAGGGAAGAAGTTATGCCCCCCTTAGTAAAGTAGAACTTAATCAGAGGGGAGCACAAAGAAGCCTTTTCTGCTCAATAACGTTAGGGGGGAGTGGGGGCTGTATCATCCCATATTTTGAAGACATGACATAACAGTATATTGCTGCAGGCCTTAGATTTTAATGTTACTTTTCAAGTATTATGTAATAATAACTATGCTAGCTTTTCCATTTATTGCCAGTTATGGACGCTAAGTTCACTCATAGCTGGTAAATATAATATACCTTTTTGTCTCATGTAACATTTCAATGTAATTTCTTTTCTTTTCCATTATCGGTAAATGCCTGCAGAGTTATTCTCTCTGTGAAGTTGCATAGACTGTACATTCATTCTGTGAAAATGGAGGAATAAATCAGTTTTCTTTCCAGGTCAAATGTAATATCAACTAAACAAGTATTTATTTACAATGCTTCTCAGCCCTACCTAGTGGCCATAATCCAGTTTTTAACTGATATTACATTCAACCTGAAAGAAAATATGCTGAGAACATTCACACAAAGCAAATGTACATGCAATTTCACAGTGCAAATGGCTCTGCCAACTGTTTATATAAATATACTAGTGTATGTATCTATATAGATATCTATATAGATATCTATATAGATATCTATATATATCTATAATATATATATTTTTATTTTAAACATGTTTTCATCCCACTGTAATTGCAGCACTTGTATATTTATTGAGTACTTTTTTGGTTTTAGATATGGAGACTATTCTTTGGGAGAATCATATGTCTGGATCTGAAGGATACTTTTTGTAGCAGTTTACTTGTATATAATTTTAGAACATTAGAGAGACGTTTTGGCACGCGAAAATTTACGGTAAGATGTTCCTATATTTTTTTTATATAAGATACAGTATTTGGGAATCAACCCTGACTGTAATTAAAATAAATTTGTGCATGCTAACATTGCTGACCTGCTTTTAAAATTCTAGCTGCAAGTCCATTCATTCCAACCCTCTCCATCTTGTGTCACTGATCCAGAACTAGTGAATTTAGAACCGGCTGTAATGTTTCTCAGTTATCTCCGTTATCCAGGTGATGGTGTGGCTACTAGTAGTTGGTAACATTCAGTTGGGCTTATTCTGTGATGTTGAAGACATTTTGCAACTGTTCCTGCTGTTACTTACACTCGTTAGAATTAAAAACACTTGTTGGATACACTGCAGTTACAAAGTTGAATATAACTTATTACCTGAGGTCAGAACTTCATTATCTGTAAATGTGGTGTAGGTCAGTTACACAGAAATAACTGATGCCATTAGATAACCTTGTCAGCTGGGACTATACCATTTTTAGAAGCAGAGGTCTGCAGACGCAGTACGTATTTTTGTCAGCACAGACTTCCTTTAAGCTTGATTCACATACTAGTTTGAAAATTGCCCAGAGATGTGTCACTTAACCACTTGCTGCCCGGAGTAATTTCTTACATTTGCACACACATTATTATTATACAGGATTTATATACCGCCAACAGTTTGCGCATTGCTTTTACAATATATGGAAGACATTACAATCGCAATACAATTCAAGACAAGATGGTAGGGAGGGCCGTGCCCCTGAGGGCTTACAATCTAAAAGGGAGGGGCAAGTGAAACATGAGGAGCTAGCTGTGTGGAGATGAATTATTTGAGAATATGATGGTTGCGTGATTAGGTTGAGGTGGGATAGGCTTCCCTGAAGAGTTAAGTCTTAAGTGTACGTCTAAAGGCAGTCAGAGTGGGAGATAGTCGGACAGGTTGGGGTAAAGAGTTCCAGAGGATTGGAGAGGCTCTAGAGAAGTCCCGGAAGCGAGTATGGGAGGAGTTGACGAGGGTGCTGGAAAGCAGGAGGTATTTGGAAGAGCGGAGGGGACGGTTAGGGTGATACTATGATACAAGGTTTGAGATGTAACCTGGGGCAGAATTGTGGGTGGCTTTGTAAGTGGTTAATATTTTGAATTTTATCCTCTGGGCGAGTGGAAGCCAGTGGAGGGATTGGCAGAGGGGGGTTGCAGACACTGAGTGGTTGTTTAGGTGAATGAGTCTAGCAGCAGCATTCATGATAGACTGAAGGGTGGATAGCCTGTGTAGAAGTAAGCCAATGAAGAGGAGTTAGAATAGTCAAGATGAGAGATAACAAGGGAGTGGATGAGTAATTTAGCAGTTTCATTGGTGAGGAAGGGGCGTATTTTGGAGATGTTGCGAAGGTGAAGGTGGCAGGAATTGGACAGTGATTGGATGTGGGGAAAAAAGGTGAGGTCCGAGTCAAGAATGACGCCTAGCACTTTGGCATGGGGGAGGGTTGGATAGTTGTTATCAATCTCAAGGGAAAAGTTGGGGGAAGGTGCATCGGCGGGAGAAAATATGAGCTCAGTTTTTGAAAGGTTGATGAAATGATGATACAATCTGAATTTTTGGCTAGAAAACAGCTTTGAACCCCCAAACAATTAGTTTTTTTCTGAAAGCAGAGGCCCTGTAGAATAAAAAGATGCTAGTTACAATTTTTTATGTTGCACAATATTTGTCAAATGTTTATCAAACCAGCATTTTTAGGATAAAATACAGTAAAATGAAATTTAGTGCACAGAAACAGACTTAATACCCAATGTTTTGGTAAAACATAAAAGACGGGGTCACGCTGGGTAAATAGACACCAAACATGTCAAACCTTATAATTGCGTGCGGCCAACAAACTACAATAACCAACATTTCCCATATGTGACGTTTTAAATGCTTTTACGGCTCATCAGTTTAGCGTTAACAGTGATTGACGGGCCTAGAATTATTGCTGTCACTCCAACGCTCGCGACTATATGTAACATGTGTGGTGCAATTTTTGTTTTTGCACACAGGCGCATTTGTGTTGTATGTGCATTTTATTTTATTTTTTTGCATTATTTTTTATCAATTTCGTTAATTTTTTAGCAATTTTTGTTTTTTACACTTTTTCTTACAGCTTTATTGCGATCACATAGGGGGCTAACAAGCCCCCTATGTAATAGCAAATATTATGTGACAGGTCCTCTTTTTATGTAGACATCAGAGGTCATGTAGACATCAGAGGTCTTTCAGATCCCTAATGTCACCTAGGGACCCCAAGGAAGTTGGGGAAACCCACTGTGCCGGTCCCGGGCTCACACAGGGGATAGTGGAGCCCGGGAAGCCGACAGCGTCACCAGCATTTTTGATTGCAAAGTGTACTCCTGTATCATAAGGAAATAAAAAATGCCAAAAAAAGGTGTGCCCAATAGTTCTCCTTTTAAAGGACAGACTGATCTGAAGGTATTTTAACAATCATTTATTTAACATATACTTGTACTAAATCCTTTGGGTTAAATAGATACTGCCTACTATGCTACGTCTAATGATTTTTCTATGTATCTGGCAGGAAAGGTAACGTCCTGCTAAATACGCCATGTAAGATTGTTGTGAAGTTCAGTAAGTTTCATAGTGTGACATGGAGGAATATATAGATTATTTTAAGTGATAAGAATAATCCCACACTAATGTGATTTTGAGGTTCTGATATATAGGCGTAAAGTAAATAAGCCTCCAGCTTCTTCTAACCCTATAATAGGAATTATTTTTCACTCAAATGAGGTTCCTGGCTTTTAATACCTGTCCCTTTATGGCCATTATGAAGCCAAAGAAGAGAGCCATTTGCTTTCTGCAGCAGACTGTTCAAGGATCAAATGTAGGCAGAGTCCTTTGGCAAAGGTGAGACTCTGTCACACTGGCCAAGAATATTGGAGACGAATGGAAACTGGGGTGCAGAGAGCTTGTTTATGGAAACCTATTTCTTTCTAATGACATGGTTAATTTTTTGACTGGCGTTTGTAAGTATGCAGTTTTACTTACATGGCATACCTTGCTTTTAGCCTGAAAAATATACTGGTATATGTAATTTGAGGTGGGGGCCCAGATGAGATCAGGATGAAGAGCGGGGACATGTGTTTTTTCCATGTTTGCTGCTACAACCACAGTTTTTTTGGGGACAGAACACGCTGAAATCGCATTCCGTCTTTTTTGCGTGCATGCGTACAAATACGCAGGTGTTAACAAGCCCCACAAGAATGTATTGCTTTTTGTGTTTTGCGCGTTTTTGAGCGTATAGATACACGCGGGGGAAACGCTAATGTGTGACTGGATCCTAGACATGACAGTACTTGCAGCCTTCCTGTCTTAGCTGTCACAGGAGAGCGAGAACAATGTGCTGGTACTCCTGTATTGGAGGTGACAAGTTCAATAAAGAGAACCTGTCACCTCTGAATGCCGTCACACAAGGGCTTGTTAGCTCCTCTGATCGCAATAAAGATAAGTGAAAAAAATGTAAAAATCACGCGTAGGGCACCTGTGTGTGCACTGAGTGCTGCCCCCATTCCACTGTGTGCCATATTATGGTTGCCAGGCAGCAACGCTCTCTAACACGTACAATGTGCATTAAAGGTTACGTTTATTTTCGCAAGTAACTTCGGAAAATGGGATTACCTGCTCAAATCTGGCCCCCTTCCCCTCTGCTATACTTGCCTTTCGGCACACAGTCCTTCCCCTCAGCTGGTACGGGCGTACGATCTGTACCCTGTACTGCCATCCAGTGCAGCCCTGTGCTATGTATTCTGAACTATGCTTGCAAATTGCAAGCACTCGTTGGTCAGTGCAGTCACCTGACCGCACTGACCAATGAGAAGCACTAATTAGCAGCATTAAATATGGTTTGGGTTAAGATTAATTTTTGTATCACGACAAGTAGATTGTCATGAGGGACAAGTGGATTGGACACACGCTTTAGTCCTAGGAAAGGTTGTTTATGTCCACACCTCTGTATATCATGCCAAGAGGCTGCCTGCAGCCACCACCACAGACTGTTAGAAGGGAGGTCCTTAGCACCTGTAATATGACTTCATGTATAATATCCCAGATGTGCATCTAAGGGTTCCTGCCATCTGCATGACCCTCATTGCCATAGTGGGGTAATGTAGAGGTAGATGCAAAGTTTTGAAAAAAGTGTTGAAATTTAATGAAAGTCTCAAAAGAAGTTTGTGTACAAAACCTCTGTGTCACATCTCTGCCCTGATGAAGGGACCCTGCGTGGTCCCGAAACATTGGATTATGCGATGTGTGACGTTTATTCCAAATAAATGGACTTTTTTTGAATTTCATTTACAGAGTGCTGGTGATTTCTATTGTTCATTGACTGTTGTACACGGCGCCATCTGTGATTGTCACTGCAAGCACCACTATTTTCACTTGGACCCGAAGCGCTGTAAGCAGTGCAGGGGGACCTACTGCTTTCTGTGTACAGAACCGTATGTAGGAAGGAAGATGGATTTACTTTCCTTACTTATGAGGCATCAATTGTCCAAAGAGTCCTGTTCTGTTTTGTTCATATTGAGCAATGATTATGTCCCACAAACGGTCTGTTTAATGTGGTAATCGGCCACCTCCTCGATCCCACATAGATGGATGAGCCAAGCGCAGCCCTCTCCTTCCCTTTCAATCC